AATAAATATTTATTGAACGCTTCTCCAGTGCCGTTCCACTCCCGGAGACGTCTAGTGTTCCCGCAAAAAGGGGATTGGAAGGGAGACGCCGGGACCGGAAGTTGCGCTGTTTCTCTCGTTTCGTTGGGCAGAGCATAGTCACGTGGTGCAGAGCATAGTCACGTGGTGCCTTTGACTGCAAGGGAAGTTGGGAAATGTAGTCTTCTGCTGGGCAGTGTGCTTTGCTGAAAGTTTTGGTTCCCATATCACAGAATGTGGAGAGAAAAGACACAGGACATTTATTACTTGATTGCTGTACCCCCCCCCTTTTTTTTTTGCCTGGGAGGGGTCCTGCCTTGATGCCCCCCAACTACCCCATTCTGGGCTCAGATCCCACCATGCGATCTTAGGCGAGAGCCTTGGGCTTGCGGAGGCTCAAGCTCTCATCGGAGAAGTGGGCTTATGATGCCAGTGTTTCAAAGTTGTCCGCAGATCCTTTGCGACACACTCACGCTCCAGGGGCAGTGTAAGTGCTCATTAATGGCAGGCCCGGAGAGGAGGGGGCTAATCTTTTTCAGAGTCACAGACCTTTGGGAAGGAGTAGAATTAACATTCGTGGGTTACTCACATTTACGGATTCCGGAGGCTTTAAAGATCTCAACGTATTTTGTTTTATTTTTTATTGGTATTTATTTGTTTATTTATTTTAATTTTAATTTTTTTAATGTTTATTTATTTTTGAGACCGAGACAGAGCATGGACAGGGGAGGGGCAGAGAGAGAGGGAGACACGGAATCTGAAACAGGCTCCAGGCTCTGAGCTGTCAGCATAGAGCCCGATGTGGGGCTCGAACCCACGAACCGTGAGATCATGACCTGAGCCGAAGTTGGACACCTAACCGACTGAGCCTCCCAGGCGCCCCTATTGGTATTTTTTTAAAGTACTCTCTGTGCCCGACTGGGGCTGGAACCCTGGACCCCAACATCAAGAGTCACAGGCTGCACTGACTGAGCCTGCCAGGCGGCCTTGAACCTATTTTGAATCCCCAAAATTGAACGCCCTCGGGGTACAGGCTTACATCATTGGGCTCATTTTACAGAGAAAAAAAAACAGGCTCCAAGAGGTGAATTCTGGTCCCCAAGGTCACACAAGTCAGGAGTGGGGAGATTGTAATTTCCAGGGGAAGGAAAGGCAAATTTGAGCTGGTTAAGCCAGGAAGCTGCTGGCCCCTCCCACCCAACTGCTTCCTGCAAACATGAACTTTGCAAGCCTTTTCCCCCTTTCTTGGGGCCCAGGAGGGCGGGCTTGGCTGACTCACCCAGGCCGTCAGATACGACTTAGTATTTTAGTGGCTGACTCAGATTTTGCCAGGGCCTTCGTAGCACTGACGTCAAACCCGGGGAGGAGCCCCTGAAATCAGCTTCCAGGGCGCTGCAAGGTGGCGTAGGTTCGTGGACAGACTGTTTCCAATCATCGACGCGGGAGCTAGCTTCAAATAACGGGACAGCTGCAGTGAACAGGCCATTTGGTTCATTCAAGTAACATTAATGGGGTGCCTACTGTGTGCCCGCATTGGAGTGCAGTAGGGGCACCCAATACATCCGTGCAGTCGGAATCGGAGGGGGGGAAGCAGTGACTGAATCATCAAATGAAGCAGAGATAATTTCAGAAAGTGAAGAGACATCAGAAGAAATGAACAGTGACATGGGAGTGTCCCGGGGGAGGGGGGGCCCACTTTGGACCCAGTGGCCAGTGGGGGTGTAAGGAGCCCGTGTTAGAGCCAAGGCCTGTAGAAAGAGGAGCTGGCCGGGATGAGAAGAGTTTGAGGACCAGGTGATTTTTCTGGAAAGAGGACAGAGCTCGTGCAAACGCCCTGGGGTAGAGCCCTGCCTGGCATGTTGGAGGAACAGCGAGAAGGCCTTGTGGCTGGAGTAGAGCGAGCGAGGGGGAGAGAGGGTGGAGAAGAGGAGGGGAGGGGATGCACGGCTTTGTGGGCCTGGGGGAGGACTTGGGCTTTTCCCTGGGAAGGCGGAAGTCCTGGAGGCCCTTAGCAAGCAGAGGATGGGGGTGGGGTGGGGTGGGAATCTGACTCCAGTGCTCACAGGCGCCCTCTGGTGGCTTCTTTGGGGAGGACAGACTGGGAGGTGGGTGCGTGTGTGAGCGAGCCTGCGACCAGAGCGGTGGCAACAGACCCTGGCCAGGCCGGCCACCATGGGGGCTGGACGCACGTTGGGGGCAGAGGAGGGACAAGCGGGCACGTTCAGAGCACGAACCCCTATTAATCCCTGAGGAATTGTGAGACTCGGAACAAATCACAGCCCTTTTCTGGGCCTCATGACTTCGGGTCTGGAGCTTCAACACTTCCCACGTCCCTGTGTCACGGCAGCATATTTAAAGGACAATCACTTTGAAAACCCTGGGCCGAGGGTTTCACATGCCCCATGAACTGGTTTCGCCCTCCCAATAGCCCAGGGGCTGGAAACTATCCCTGCCCCAATTTACAGATGAGGAAACTGAAGCCCAGAGAGGCGAAGTCATTTACCCAAGGTCACACAGCACGCAAAGTAGCTTTTGGGGGCAGAAGAAGGAGCCAGGTGTCCCTCTGCTGGATTCTAGCCCCTACGGAGGTTGTGCACACTGTGACTTCATGGCCTCCATTTTTTTTTTTTTTTTTTTTTTTTTTAATCTGTGAAATAGTCTTGTTTTACTTGTTAATTCCTGGTTTCTCCGCCACACCCTGCATACCCTGAGAGCACCGGGGTGGATCTGTCTGGGTCCCTGTAGCGTTTTCAGAACCCAACCCAGGAAGCGGAGCACAGTCATTGCTCAGTGAGTCCTTTGACCAACAACGCAGGCAGCCGTGTCTGTGCGGGGCGCGGCTCCCCACCCGCATGGGGTTCACCGGGCACTGAGTGGGCAGGATGTGGATTCATCCATCTGCTTATCCAACCCACATTTACTGAGCTCCTCCTGGGCGCAGGCCCTCTGGGCACAGTGGTGACTCAGTGGTCACCATGCCCCCAGGGTGACGCAGGACGACCCCGTTCTGCTCTCCCAGGCTCGTGGTCCGCTGCCACAGAGGGAGACGTTACGGGGCGATGAGGCTTGCGATGGAGAGGTGGAGGGGGCTCCGGAGGCCCAAAGGGGACCGTTGACCAACCTGGGGGGATTGAGAGAAGCTTCTGGAAGGAGGAAGGAAGCTGAGACCTGAGGCGTGAGTTGGAATGAGCCATGGGTTGGGGAGAGAGTTCCTAGAGGTGGGCACAGCATGGACAAAGGTACTGGGGCGAGAAAAGCCCGCGGCTAGGGCTACGGCCAGGCGCGGCCATGGCCAAGGTTCCCCAGAGCGGGGCGGGGGCGCTCAGCCACACGTCCTGCCGTCCTGGTGCCCCCTGCTGGCCGCCATCGTCCCAAGGCCAGTGTGCCCCCAGTGGCCCCAGGTCTGGGGTGTCTCCTGGGAAACCCCTGTCCCCACTAGAACAAACAGCCTCAAGGAAAAATAGAGGGGAATTTTTTTGAAAATTTCCCCTTCTTTAAAAACTGTGAGATATGAGGGCGCCTGGGTGGCTCCGTCGGTTAAGCATCCGACTTTGGCTCAGGTCATGATCTCACGGTGTGTGAGTTCAAGCCCCGCATCGGACCCTGTGCTGACCGCTCAGAGCCCGGAGCCTGCTTCGGATTCTGTGTCTCCCTCTCTCTGTCCCTCCTCTGCTCGTGCTCGGTCTCTCAGAAGAAGAAGAAGAAGAAGAAGAAGAAGAAGAAGAAAAAGAAACGTTAAAAAATGTTTTTAAATAAAACCTGTGAAACATGAATCAATAACAGATGATTTATTTTCAGAGGTTCTTAGCTGTGTCCCTGCTTGGAACGGTGTCTTTCCGAGACGGTTAGATCTTGTACAAATTTCTCCCGCTCCCTGGGCCCAGAGAAGGCAATGCATAGCCCAGTGTCACACAGCGCATGCGTGGCTGCCCCTGGGCCTGGGCAGAACTTGAGGGGCTTTGAGTGTGAATCTTGCACATCCCCTGCGTCTCCAGCGCATTTTGGGTGTCCCACCAGAGGGCGCCTGTGAGCACCTCCTGTGACACAGCCCTTCAGGGCTCCCACCTCTTTGGGGGGGGGGGGGGGGAGGAGCCGAAGTCCTCCCCGCGGGCCCCCAAGGCTCGGCACGACCTGCTGTCCCCTCCTCCGTCTTTCCCCCTAGCCTAGTCTGTGCGAGCCACACGGGCCTCGACCCGCCAGGTGTGGTCCTGCCCCAGGACCTTCACGTGGGCTGTTCCCGCTGCTTGAAATGCCCTTCCTTCAAATGTCTACATAGCTCCTCGCTCACCTCCTCCAGATATTTGCTCAAATGCCACCCTCTCAGGGCAAGCTTCTCTGAGCCTCCCATTTAAAATAATTTACAACCACATCCACCAGATCCCCCCACCCTCCCCCACACTGCTCTATTGTTCCCTAATGCTCGGCGTTTTTAGACTAATAATAGTAATAATGTCACTTATTCATTGAACACCTGGTTTATCATCTGCCTTCCCCATGGGGATGGGAATTTCATCTGGTGAGTTCCCTGCTGGACCCCAGTAGCTGGCACACAGCAGAGGCTCAATACGTGAATTTGAACGAATGTGCCAACCTTTCTCTCTTTCGACCAATCTCTTTGTTCCATGTTCCCCACGGGGCTCACAGCTCTGTGGGGAAGACAGACGCGCCACTAGGTGGTTGCAGCCGGGGTGGTCCTGGGTGTGACGGGGGACGCAGAGGCCACTGTGGGGGCTTTGGGGTTGGGGGCGGTCATGGGAGGCTTCCTGGAGGAGGCATTCCAAGAAGGAAAGTCTACTGCAGGCGGAGGGTGCAGTCCGTGCAAAGACTCCGAAGGATGGGGAGGAGCCAGTGTGGTCGACCTGAGTACAGAACCTGTGTCCTGTATGTGGCGCCCCCTTCCCCCCGCAGAACAGGATCCTGCGTTTATGGGGGGGCGGGGGGAGGGTGAAATCCAGAAAGCGCTGCAGTGAGCGTTCTGCGCCACCAGGGGTCGCCGTGGGACAGTGATTCCGGGTTCTCCCCTGTCTGGAACCGAAGAGCATTCCTCCTGAAGAGAGGCCCCAGAGACCCCAGAGAGTGCCAAGTTCAGGTCATGCCGCCACGCCCCTTTCCTCGCTTATCGCCTCCGTAAATAACAATAGCAGCTGTAGAAACATCCTCATTAACTGGGCCTTTGGAAATTGTTCAGTGAAAGGCTGTTGGGGACCAGAGCCCAGAGAGGGCAGACACCTGCTTTAAGTCACGCAGCAACAAGGCCGGCCCACCCCAGCCTGACCCGCACAGTGCCCCCTCCCACCCCCAGTGCCTCTGGGCGCAGACTTTTTATTTTTAACTTGGTCAGTGGCTCTGGCCTTTTTATAGCCCTGGGAGGTGCCCAGGGTTTCCAATTTCCAAGGGAAGTTAGGAAAAAAAATTGTACTCTTCCCAAGAAAAGGAGCTTCCTGACCTCTGGGGGTGGGGGGTGGGGGGCTGGCCCCATCTCCTGTCTTCCCTGACGCTCCCCGGGGGGGGGGGCCCTCAGACCTCTTATCGGGCTCTCTGCCTGTCCCCGCCCTGCGAACCCCACGCCCCTCCTCTGCGGGGACCTGGGCACTGGAGGTTGGCAGGCCGGCCTGGCGCCACCTGCCCGCCCCATCCCTTGCGGGTCGCTGTGTCGGAGCCCCTTTGTCACGTGGGATCTGACGTGCTCTGGCATCAGCCCGCCCATCCCCCTTGCTCACCTGTCTCCTGTCCCGCAGGTTCTTTGCTGGCCATCTGCCCTCTTCCTGAAGGTCTTTTCTATTTCTCGAGTCGTTTAGTATTTTTCTTCAAACAGGCTTTAAGATTACCCCCCACCTCCCTTTTTTATTTCTGGAATTGGATCGCGGTGATGGTTGCACAACCTTGTGACTATAGTGAAAGCCACTGAACTGTATGTACGCTTTGGAATGGTGAGTTTCATCTCAGTAACAAATTGTAACAAACTCGTCTTTATTTTAAAACTCGGGGTCATTTTCGGTACGAACATCTGTAAACTCACATGTCGTGGTGGGGGAGGGGAGGCTCGCTATGCTTTGTCCCCTAAGACACGTTCAAGAAAAGACTTGAAAGCTTTCCCAATTCATCTGTGCCTCAGATGTATAAATGAGCGTGCAGACAGCAGGCACCCTGTAACCACACAGCTCTTTGCGCACTTATTATGCGCCGGGATGTTGTCACAGACAAACCCGTTTACTCCTTCCTGCGATGCTAGCAGGCAGCGGCTCCTGCCAACCCCATCTTACAGATGAGGAAACTGAGACTCGGGGAGGGGCTGGTGATGTTGCCAAGGTCACGTGGCCGCGGTCGGAAACCAGAACCACCCCCACCACACACGTTTCATTCAATTTTATTTAACTTGTTTCTTAATATTTTTTATTTAAAAGAATTTTTTTTTTTTACAGTTATTGATTTTTGAGAGAGTGAGCGCACAAGTGGGGGAGGGGCAGAGAGAGAAGGAGACACAGAATCCGAAGCAGGATCCAGGCTCTGCGCTGTCAGAGCCAGACGCGCGGGCCCGAACTCACCAACCGCGAGATCGTGACCGGAGTCGGAGTCGGTCACCCAACCGACTGAGCCACCCAGGCGCCCCGAAGTATTTTAAGTTTCTTAATCAAGTTTTTATTTTAATCCCAGCACAGTTAGTACAGTGTTCTGTTAGTTTCAGGGACACAGTACAGTGACTGAACACTTCTATGCTCGGTGCTCAGCAGAAGCATCAATTTTATTTAATTTTTAAAAGAACCAGGGGCACCTGGGTAGCTCAGTGGGTTAAGCACCTGACGGGCTCAGGCCTCCATCTCAGGCTTCGGGGGTTGGAGGCCCGTTGCAGGGCTTTGCTCTGACAGCATGGAGCCTGCTTGGGATGCTCGCTCTCCCTCTCTGCCCCTCCCCCCCCCACTTCTCTCTCTCAAAGTAAACTTAAAAAAATAAATAAATAAATAAAAGGACCAGCTTTGGGGTCCACTGGTTTTTCTCTGTTGTGCATCAAAAACTTTTTTAGAAGTTTTCTTAAGGTCAGTAATCTCCACACCCAACGTGGGGCTCGACCTCGCGGCCTCGGGACCCAGACTCGCAGGCCCCTGGCTCCGGGAGCCCTCATTTGTGCATTTCTGTCTCACTGATTTCCACATGCTTCGGGTTGACTTTCCAGCTTCCTACGGTGGGGCCCTGGGCCAGGGGCTGGCGTGCCCCTCCTGCGAAGGGCACAGTAGGTCCCTCGACCTTGGGGGCCTGACGCCTCTGTGGCCAGCGCTCCGTCGCACCACCCGCAGTATGAAAGCGCCACGGGCACCGTGCACCCTCTATGCCAGCACCCCCCTCCCCCAGCCTGTTCCTGCAGCTGCAGCCAGGGGCCTCCAGGCTTCCATCGGGCGGCATCTCCCCTTGGCTTGAAACCGCAGTGGCTGCCCAGCGCCCTGGCTACGGGCCGCCAACCACCTGCCTGTGCTCCCCCCGGGCCCCCCAGCAGCTTCCTCCCTCACCCCATCGGGCCACATGGGCCTCCCTGTGAATTCCTTTATTCGTGCAACAAACTACAGGGTGTCAGCCCCTCTTCTAGGCACTGGGGACACAACAGGGGACGAGCTGGTGTGGTTGACGTTCTAGGGAAGGGGACACAGGAACAAATAAGGAAGCAAATAGGGGTCATCTCAGGGGTTAAGTTATACGTGTGGTCTGGGAAGGAAGTGCACAGCGGGAAGTGGATGGCTGAGAGGCTTTCAACAATCTGGGAGGGCTGCGTGGAGGAAGGGAGATCCATCCGATCAAAATTACTGCTTGAGGAGCTTTTGATCGAGGGCATTAAGGCACAGGGCAGGGGGAGGCTGCACTGGAGCTCAAATGTCCCACTCAACACCGAGGTTCAGAGTCTCTTCCACAGCCCACGGAGGGCAAAGGTGCCGGGGTCCCTCCCCAGGAGTGCCAGTGTTGCCCACATTTGGGCTGGGTCTTGCCTAACACACGGGGCGACACCAAACCTAACTCGGGACTCCACACCCCCTTCTCCAGGGACATGCAGTTAGCACCCTGCTGTGCCAGCAGTCCCAGGGAGGGTCACCTCCCCTTTCCAGGCTGTGATGTGATTCCGACCCGTGCTATCTTTAACCCGAGGCTGGGACGCTCCGCTCCCCTCCCTGTAAACACTGCTCGGATGACACCCCTGGAATCCTGGGGGGTGGGGGGGCGACGAGTGTGGCCCAAGTGTCTGGGGAGGAGCTGTAGTCCCAGAGGCAAGAGACACCCCTGCGTGAACTCACCTGCTCCCTTGACACGTGGGCGCCGAGGCCACGGCAGTGACCCCACACAGCCACGGGGCTCCGCAAGGTCTGATAGGCGAGTACCGAGCACCGAGCACCCAGCACCCAGCACCCAGCAATGAGCAGAACTGAGGTGCTAAATTTGGCTTCGTGGAGGCAGGCAGTGGCTCCCACTGGTGGGGGCGCCGCATGCTTTCTCGACCTTGGGCTTCAGCCTCAATCCTGAGCTCCCGGACACGGGGCCTGGATAGCTGCCCCCACCCCCCATCACCTGCCAGTGACTTAACACTTCCCGCCGGCCGAGCGGCTTCAGGCAGCCTGCTGTCTCTCCCACTTTACACAACCCACCTTCACTCGGCCTACTGGGGACGTGGGCTCCCCCTATAACCCTCACAAGCCGACAGGGGAAGCAGCGATGAGCTCACCTCACCCCTAGGGGCCGGGCCCCCGCCCCCCGAGACTGGCCGGAGCCAGGGAAGCTGGGACCCTGGCCTGCACTCCCCCCGCCTGCCACCTGGGGACCCCCTCCCCCCAGCCCCCGGAACCGGAACCACATCGTCTGCAACCGTTTGGAGCAGGGGGATCACCTCTCACCTGACACCCGAGCGGGCGGTTTTTAAGATGGCCTCTGTGGCCTGGGGGCGAAAGTCGCACTTCTCAGCGCTGAGCTCGGATAGAAAGTGTTTGGCCCAGATCAGCTTTCCTCTGGGGCGAGTCTTCTCACACCCCAGTGGCCGGTTTCCCCCACTTGCAAAACGGCAACAAGAACACCTACTTCGGGAGGCCTGGGTGGCCCAGTCGGTTAAGCTTCCGGCTTCCGCTCAGGTCACCATCTCGCGGTCCATGGGTTCAAGTCCCGTGTCAGGCTCTGTGCTGTCAGTGCAGAGCCTGAAGCTGCTTAGGATTCTGTGTCTCCCTCTCTCTGACCCTCCCCTGCTTCTTCTCTCTCTCTCTCTCTCTCTCTCTCTCAAAACTAAATGTAAAAAAGACACACACAAAAAAACACACCTACTTTACAGGGCTGCTGTGAGCAGCGATTCAGGTGGCCCATGGAAGCATGTGGAATGGTGCCTGGCATCCAGCAAGGGCCCAATAAATGCTTGGGCCGGTGTTGTGTCCCCTGAGACCACTCTGGAGCACCTGCTGAGTCAACACCCACTCCTCCCAGGCCACCATGTGTTCCCATTACAGCGGAGCGGGTGCTGTTAGTGGTCGGACCCCCGTGAAACCAGGAGCCGGAGAAGCAGCCTGGCCTTCCCCACTGTCGTGCGAGGGGGCGACACGGAAAACTCAGCCTCGATCCGGCCGGTGCAATCCTGACCCGAGGGGGCCTGCACCGTGCCTGGCGCACAGGGGGCAGCGGCGCCTACTCAGCGCGCCAGACCAGGGCGCAGTGCTCTCACTGTGCTACCGTACGGAGAACTGCAACTACACGAGGGAACCAGCAGGAAAAGAAGAGGGACCAGATTTTCCTCCCCGACCGGAACCGCAGAGCTACCGAGTTCGGCCTCTTGGGCGCTCCCCCCCCCGCTGCCCCAGCCCTCCCTGGCCTTCCGGGAGGGCCAAGCCACCTCTTTGGAGCCTTCCCTACCGCCACGCTGGGGTTTGGGAGAAGTCGGCGGTTTCCCTCCTTTTCCACGGGCAGAAACACGCCACTTCCCAGGGAAACCCCACACAAGGTCCCAGGACACAGACAGAAACTGCCCCAGTGAGATGGTGGCCCGGGGGCTGGGCTCTGCGAGCCCCCACACCACCCACGACCTTTGCGCTGGGCGGCACCCTCTCCCCGCCTTCTTCCTGCCCACCCCGGGAGGGAGCCGTCCATCCCCCCACCACCCCCGTCCCCCCCCCACGGCTGCCTTTTAAACGACTCGGGCACCGGCGCGGAGACGCACGATTTAAACTGCCTCATTGCTTTATTCCGTGCTTTGAAGGGACAGGGGCACTTTCCCGCCTCGACGGAAGGTAAAACCCGGCCTTGCCAATAAATAACGTCCTAACTAACACTGCAAATGCAAACGGGGCCCAGGGGCCCGCTGTGGCTTCTCGAGGCCTCCGTGCAGCTGCGAGAGGAGCCGGGGGGGGGGGGGGGCCCCCCCCCCGCCCGGCGGGCCCCCGCCTCCTGAGCCCAGGAGGCCGCTTCGTCCTCTGCCACCTGCCACCTCTGCCACCTGCCACCGCCACCTGCCCACCGCGGCCGGGGGCGTGGGCGGCACCGCTGCGGTTGGCGCGTGCGCGCCCTGAGTGGTGGGAAACCGAGATTTTTTATCACCTCACTGGCAACTTGTGGACATTCGCCGCCTCCTCCAGCTCAGTTAACAGTGAGTGGGGACCTGGCTCAGGAACACCTGCGTTCAGGCTTCCAAGCAGCTAAAAAAAAAAAAAAAAAAAAAAAAAAAGCCTAGAGCCGCGGGGCTGCGCACAGCCACACTGCGCATGCGCGCGGGGCCCGGGAGGCCGAGGCGACTGCACTTCCTGGGACTCAAGACTCTGAGACCCTGATCCACTCCGACCGTGCGGGTCCTTGCCGGGTCGCGGAGTGACGGCCCCGCCAGCTCCTTCGACGCCTGGCCCGATCCTTGCTTGGAAAACGCCCCTCTTTGTGATTTGAGTGGAAAGTTGGGGGCAGCCCAAGTAGAAGACAAACAGGGAAGTTCTAGAAAATGGACGGTCGCCTCGCTTTAGGGACCGCCACCAAATCCTCCACACCACCGAGCTCGCCCCTGGTGGACAGCCTCGCCACCTGGGCCACGGCAAAAACCTCCCTGTGTGACATCAGCTCATTCCGTGTGACCAAAAATTCTCAGGAAAAGAAAAAATACGGCAGCACAACTTCTGGCCTCCTGCGCCACGCCTGTAACCTGCCCGCTAAGAAACGCAACACCACACCAACGAAAGCCATGCGAGGGGCAGGCCGCCCGGGCAGCGAGCCCTGCCCACGGCCCGTGGTGACGGCTGGGGGCAGGGAGCAGGGCGCAAGCGTACTGGAGAACTGAGAGTCGGCCCGCTTCTCCGACCTGCCACCTGGGAGCGCCCCCCTCCCCCGTCCTCACACCGCACTGGGCCGCAGGGGGGCGAAAAAGCGGGGACCCGATCCTCAGCTTCTTCCCGGTTCTCGGAAAGGAAGGCAAAAG